AACCCCAGACAATGTGGGCCCAGCGTCCTGCAGATAATTTCAAGGCGCCTGCGCAGCCATTGCCCGGAGAGGCGTCGCCTGGCGCTCCGAGGCCTGCTGGTGATCAGCAAGGCTCCCGCAATGGTGAGCAGGGGGCAGGGGCTGAAGCCGGGACAGCAGCGTGGGGCTGTGCAAGGCAGTAGCTTGGCCTTGGCTGGCCTTTGGCAGCTGTGACAGCTGCTCCCAGCTCTCCTCCTCCCCGTCCAGCTGCCCAACTCCTTTGGGACGCGCCTTTGGCCTCTGGGCCCCGCGGCAGCAGCATGGGGCTGCACCACAGCATTGTGTTCCACACAGGCTAAGAGCATCTGGAGCCTGAATGAAAGCCTCCTGGAACTACTGCAGGATGCAGACAGAGACGCGGTTCAGATGACTCTCTCTGCGTTCATCAACGTGCTGGGCTTGAAAATCATTCAAATATCCAACCCCACTGCCCTGAAGTTGCTTGAGGCGCTGCGACCACTCTTTGACAACGTAAGGCTCTGTGCCCCTCATCGTGGGCACTGAGTGCTGCCAGGAAACTTTGGGCCCAGTGCCTTTTCAGGCCTGTGCCCTGGTGGGCCTGGAGAAGCCAGTACTGAGGTCTTTTCCTCTTCCTTTGCACCAGGAGCACAGCCAGCTGCAGCAGCTCTCCATGCTCCTCTTCCGGGAGGTGCTGGAAGCGACAGAGAGAAGCAAGAGCCTAAAGCCACATGTGTACCTGAGGCTGGTGCCACTCTACTTCAACTGGCAGGATGAGAACCAGTGTGTGGCAGAGGTGAGGACTCGTGGGCTCCGGTGTCCCCATGGCAGGAGGCTGCTGTGCCTCCTGCCCTGGCCCATGGTTGCCTGCAGCCTCCTCCTGCCCTTGGCGCAGGGATGCGGGTGCTGTGCCCTGGGCTGCGGTGCCATGGCCCGCTCTCTGTTGCTGTGCAGGCCTCTCGGAGAGCACTGTTTGGTGCAGCCAGGTTCCTGAAGTGGAGGGACCTTGAGCACTTGGTGACCACGGAGCAGCCGTGGAGGTTTCCCGAGTGCCTGGTAAGGACGGCCCCAAAGCCCCAGCCCCTGGCTCCCCGGGAGCACCCAGCCCTCTGCTCCCCCCAAACCCGGTCCCAGCGGCTGCTGGACGGGCCTCAGGGCTCTGCAGGCAGGGGAGCCCCGTGCTGGGGGCAGGGAGCGCCCGGCCAAGGGGCAGAGCCTGAGCCTAGCCTTCCCTCCGTGCCCTGGCGCTTTTGCAGCTGGAAAAGGACAGGAGCCGAGTGGGCCAGTACGTGCGCCAGGCCCTGCCGTACCTGGAGAGCCCAGAGGAGCCCCTGCGAAAGCTGGCCATCAAGTTTCTGGGTGAGCCACAAGCCCAGGGTCCCTCCCTGCCCCGCTGCAGCTCGGCCCCAGCCCCGGCTGCTGCAGTGGCAGCAGGATGCGGCCCAGGGCATGTGGAGCCCCGAGTGGCCTGGCGCCTGCTGCCGCCCTGTGCTAGCCCAGCCCTGGGCGTCCCCATGCAGGAAGGCCCCGGGCTCAGCCCTGCCAGGCCAGGAGGCCGTGTGGCCAGGCTGGTAGTGCTGCTGCGGGGGACCTGTGCCTCTGAGGCCCTGACAGGTTCTGTGTTCCCAGGGATCGCTGCCAGGTCCATGAAGCAGGAGCAGCCAGAGCTGCAGCTCATCTGCCAAGGTGAGCGAGAGCACTTTCCAGGTCATCCCCTTGGGCCCTGCTCCCTCCTGGCCATGGCAAGAGCTGGCTGGGATGGCCCTGTCAGGAGGGGCTTCTCACGTCCCCACACCCCTGGCCTCTCACCTTGGCTCTCTTCCTTTCTCTTCCAGCCCTTCAAAGCATAACTGATGACAGCCCTGCCGTCTCAAACCTGGCCGTTGAAACGCTCCACATCATAAGAGCTGTACGGAGAACTCCATTCTTCCCATTCTGGTAGTCTCCGTTGCTGCTTCTTC